GCAGAGTTCACCTGGCTGGTAGAAATGGCGGGAAATCGTATAGTCCCAAAATCTGTTGCTTCGACAGGCTTCTCTTCCTTGTCCTGGCGCTGTTCCTCCCTGTGCCTCTGTTGTTGGTACTGTTGTGCCGGTTGATGGCCATGATAATTATGGAGAGGTTGTAACTGCTGCTGATAGCTACTGCTGCTGCTTTGTCCCGCAAGAGTGTGTTTAGCCCAGTCGGTATTTTCGCTATTCATGTTAGTTGTAACCTCAAAACGTGGTTCGTAAGCTGGTACCATAGCGAACATCCCACCAGTGCAATGGACATATGTCCAGGCAGTACTAAGTTTGGAAACCAGTGAAGACGAAGAAGAAGCATGACGAGTACAGGATTGATCGGATGTAGAGTTGGTGGCAGAGTAGGGTGTGGAGGGCATTCTGACCGAAGAAGTCGGCACACCGGCGCGAGGAGTAATACAGCAACCGTTGACACCGTTGCAGTGGCCATCGTGATAACTGTGGCTATTTTGAACAGAAGTGTGGAGAGTGGAGTGCGCGTCTGCCATTAGATGATCAACTATCAACTGGTCCTGAGTGAAGGCATCACGAATGAAGCCGAATCTGGGGAGGTATGAAAGACAAAATTGATGATAAGATTCAGTAGATCCTAATTTTTCACTGAGAAAACTGACATTTCAGGAAGATAAGCCAAGATTATTAATAGTTGAGTCATCCTGGTCGCTTAAGGTAATGTAAGGAATGGCAAGTGAATTTGCCACAATAGACTTAGTAGGTCCCATGATGCCAATAAATTACAATTGGCTCTGTCTCATAGAAGGCTTTCTTACCCAAGGGGACAACAATTCTTACCTGGCTTAGAATACAGTTGAAGGCTCTGATGAGACGGCCTAGACAAGATTGGAACTGCGATCAACTGGATAGGAAATACTTTCAGTAGGCAAAGTAAGTTGTACTATGGTGCTACGAATGGCGAGACTCACTAATGATGCCGCCGAAACGTCTGGGAAAGTACAGCGTCCATGGTCAAGCTTTGGAAATAATCAGGCATACAATGGACTCTGGACTAGGTAGGTTCCTCTAAGTCTTCCTACAAATATGACCAAGTTGCGAAAACAAGGTCAAACTACTTCTATAAAACGAAAAGAGACTACGACTACACAAAAGGCCACACCATCTTGGTGGCTCGCCCCGTATTTTTTGTTCTAAGTTCTAGTGTCGCATCTCTTTCTCTCAACCCCACTTTATATGGCCCAT